ACGGATACACTATCCGATCGAACCGACACATTGGATATAATGGATACAAACAAGCCGATCATTAGGATATCCGATATCAAAACAACTTGATGATCTTGACAGAGCGACAGTGCCAATCAGAGATTGACGTTTTAACGTTAGTAAAGAGAAGACAGTTCGGAAAATATCATCTGATTCCTTTATAATATTCCCTTCTAACTGTAACCAGTTGGATTTTTAAAAAGAATCGGGAATACTAAGGGTACGTTTATGCTCAACTTTTTCTGGCCAGAATGAGGCATTTGTTACGCGTTTAGTGATTGCATGATTGCGTCCTTTCTCATTTTTGTAGAATCACAGAAAAACGGCGATCGTAATCGCCGATCGTAAACTCACAAAAAGGTGCGTTTTGGATCGGCGAAAATTCTGCAAAATCAGCGATTATGGGGAAGCATAAACGCACAATCATTTGTAAACGCGTTTAAATGACGTCATCATAATCGTGTTTCCGGTTCATGTGAAAATCTATTACTAGCAGGACCCTTGAATTCACGGGATGGGGGGGGGGGGTATTGGTATTGGTATTGGTATTGGTATTGGTATTTATTTTCCATCACAATATTAAAAACAATACAAAGAAAATGCATGTACATAGTAAAACTCAATAATATAGTGAATGGCTGGATAGCCCATTCAGCTTTGTTAATGGATAATAATAGATATAATGTGCTAACGAAAATAAACTTTATTTTTTTAAAAGATAATTTCTATGTAAGATGATATATTGTCAATATATATTCTTTTTTGTCTATTTTGAGATTATTGATTTTCTTCTATTTTTCAAATTGTATTTCTCTTGTTTGTGTACTTTTATTCTTTTACTTCTTCTTTTTATTTTACGCATATCGCACAGTGCGCCAAAACTTGACCTGCCCACCCGGGGTCAACGTAGGATGCGAATCCAGATAGGTATACAGAGCTCGAATTGGCATGGAGAAGGGAGCAGAAACAGCACAACGTGGAACTGCGATTACGATGAGCGTTTCAAATCGCTCATTCTGCCTACAAAATTGAGCATAACAGAAATAAAAGACAAAATAGGAAACAATGATAGAGAGAGAGAGAGAGAGAGAGAGAGAGAGAGAGATGGAGGATGGGAGAGAGGAGGGGAGAGTCTGGAAATCAAGGGGAGAGGGGTATTACATAGAGTGGAAGTCGGAGAGAGAGAGAGAGAGAGAGAGATGGAGAGAGAGAGAGAGAGAGAGAGAGAGAGAGGGAGAGAAAAGGAGAGAGGGGAGAGACAGATTTGGAGAGAGAAACGTTGAAAGAAGAAGGAGAGAGAGAGAGAGGGGATAAACAGATTGGGAGAGAAAAGGGAGAGACAGATTGGGAGAAAGGCGAAGAGGAGAAAGAGAGGGTGGGAGAACCAGATTGGGAGAGAGAAACGAGAAAGAGGAGAGCGAGAAAGGAGAGAGAAAGGGACATTAGGAGAGAGAAATAGAGAGGGTCAGACAGATTGGGATAGAAAGAGGAAAGAGAGGGGAGAGACAGATTTGGAGGGAGAAAGGAGGAAAATTTCGAGAGAAGGGGAGAGAGAGTGGTGGGATATTAGGAGAAAGAGGAGAGATAGAGAGAGATGGGAAGAAATAGAGAGAGAATAAAAGGGTGTGATAGGAGGGGGGCAAATGGCAACAAGAAGCACAAAAAGAAGTAATTGATTGGTAATGAGAGAAGAAGAAAATCAACAATTGAGCTAAATTCAATGTATTTGTATTTCTTTGTGATTTGTTGTCTATATTTGTCTGAATTGAAATTGTAGACATGATGTTTAGGAGCCACCATACTCTACTGCTCTCTATTAACATATCCTCTCTTCACCTTCTTTTCCCCCTTTCTCTCACTCCTTTTTAAAAATCATTGTTGGCCTACCGTATTTATTTGCTGTTGGCAACTAAATCAATGAAACAAATTAAGTCCACATGGTACCAATTTTTGATTGTTACTGTTTCATAACTTCCTCTAGTGATCTGATTGTCCTCAAACAATAATAATGATAGTGAATGAATAACATGTATATTGCAAGTTTGCAACCTCAGTAGCATTCCAATGTCAAGCGCATCAATGCCCTCTTCTTGCTGAAAACAATAACAAGTGAGACTTTAGACACATTGAATAAGTATAGGTGTAGGGCCTGCAATTATAAGACTATGAATCTGGACTGAGTATGAGATACCAGCTGGCAGGCGCGTACGCAGGGGGGGGGGTCAATTTTTTTTGTGTTAGTGTGTTTTGGAGGGGGGGGGACCTTAATTTTTTATTTTTTTTAATAAAAGAAATTTAAAAAATAAATTAAAATTGTGCTAATGGGTGACAAAAAAAGGCGACCTTAACCCCCCCCCCCCCCCCCCCCCCAACACAACGAAATATCGATCGGCCAAATTTTCAAATTTTCGGGACAAAAAAAATGTGCTCTTAGGCATAGGTATATGTCAAATTTTTACGTTTACGTGTCCCTTAGGAGCCACCATACATTTATAACGCGCCTAACACATTGTTTCTAGGCGCTGTGGTGCTGTTGTCCCATCAGCCATTAAGTGAAGCAATGTCCATACCCGAAATAAAAGCCGGACGAAAGCACCACGATTACACAATATTATTCAGTACAAAATTACAGTATGTTACGCTATGTTACGTTACAAAATTACATTTTGTTACAGATAAATGAATAAATCAACTTAATCTAACTTAAATTGTGCTAAAAATGACTTATTTCATAACAAATAGTAGTACGACATCATTTATTTATTTGACATGTTTAGAGAAGACAAAATTCATGATAATGATTTGCTTACTTTGTCAACCCTCCTGTTTGATGTTTTCGATAAGTTACAGCCAGCCTTACTTTTGTCATGTGTACATTTGCAATATTTGTTTGTTATATAATTGTAAAAATGCAAAAGAAAAAGAAAATCAAACAGAAATAATTAAATCAAATCAAATCAAATTAAATCAAATCAAACAGATGGGTTTTTAACATAACTTTGAAAGTGGATATAGAAGGAGCATTTTGGTTGTAGGACGGGAGGCTATTCCAGTAGGTACTTATCGAAACGGAAATGACATTTATTAGGAAAGAAACGGCGCTCGATCGTGGCAAAGTAGGGCAATTATAAGAGCCTTCAGAGGTGAAAATGGCACTTCAATTAGTTCAAGTTCAATTAAGTTTATTCATTTCCATAAAAATCACATTACAAAAAACACATACATTTGCAAAAGGTACTGTAAAAAACATGCAAAAACTTTCACTATAATATACATAAGTACATTAAAATATTAAACAATAATGGAAAAAGGTAAGTTATAAAAACCTAAATAAATGAGTTTGCCGAGATATCTCCCCCAAAATAATTAAACAAATCGTGATGAACATAATAAAGATTTGAAATTACATAAACTTATTTTGCCCGAAAGAAAACTCGTAAACAACAGAAAAAAAGAAAACAAAAAACATACAAGCCCTACAAAATCACTGACATACACACATTATATATCAAGTGGAAAAGTATTCTGCCCTAATCACATGTTATTAGATGCTGCTTTACACTTCTTGTAAAGCCATTGTTATTCATTATAGATGTTATGTTATTTGGCAAAGTATTCCATATTGTTGGTGCTTTATGTCTGAAAGAAAATAATAAATACGATTTTTCAATAACCCATAGATAGTATTTATTTCTATTCCTTGTATTATAAGTATGAATTGTATTATTGAGTGAAAGCATATTGTTAAGTGAACTGGGCAAAAAACCTTGATTGTGTTTAAATAATAAAATGAATATGCAATATTTTTTTAATTGATACACATCAAGGAACTTGAGATTTATTAATAAGTATAGTCTAGTATTGGCACGATAAGCAAATTCCAACCACTTTCTTTTGTAACAAAAAAAGAGAGTTCAATTTTGACTTGTAGGTATTTGCCCAAACAGTATTACAATATGTCAAATATGGTAAAATAAATGTATTGTACAACAATATCAATATGCTTTGAGGTAATACTGTGCGGAGTTTTCCAACGATACCAACACTCTTTGACACTTTATTAGTTATGGTCAGTCCAATGACATACTTTTATTAATGAAAACGCCTAAAAATTTAACAGTGTGGACTCTTTGGATAATTTTATCATTCGTTGATATTTTTGAATGTTTAGAAATGTTGGAATGAATATGTGATTTTCTATTGTAAAAATATATTAAATTGGACTTTTCAGTATTTAAAGACAATCTATTACTATTAAACCAGTGTGACACGTTGGTCAATTTATTGTTCAAATCATCATTAATTGATGAATGAATAATTATCTGTTGAGTAAAGAATGTTGGTATCGTCGGCAAACGATATATACTTCAATTGACTTGAGCAATTGGGAAGATCATTTATATATAATAAAAATAACAATAACTTCTTGCACCTGAAAAGGGACACTCGACAGAAATGAAAAGAGACACTTGTGAGAATGGAAATGGGGAATCTGTTGGAGGAGAAGGGCACGTATCAGATTTTGATAGGGGCATTTATCAGATGTTAAAAGGGGCATTTTGAAAAGAGGGAGGGGCTCATATAAAAAAGGAAAAGGGGCACTTATCCGAAGGAAATATGGTACTTATTAGAAAGGAAAAGGGGCACGTGTCAAAATAAAAAGGGCAAAAATATCAGAGGTAAAAAGGGGAATTTCTCGCAACTGAAAAGACGTGACTCACCGGAGATGAAAAGAGGGGAAAAGGACAGTTATCAGAAAAGAAAAGGGGCACTTGTCCTATGTAAAAGGGGGCTTTTTGTGGGTACCTGGAGTACGTGCCGCTTTTGGCATAATGGGCAAAAAATGAGAGAAAACATGTCATTTCAGCAACATTTGTAAATCACTGTCGGTAACGAATTAGAAATAAACCACTTTTGGAGGTCAACTGCCCCCACCCCATCAGTACGCCGGTTGCTATAGCACAACGTAGTTTCTACTGTAGACCCTAGGGAGTTGTGAGAACTGTCACAACTTCCACGTAGACCTCTGAGTCAATACAATTATTTATAGTCATAACGTAATCTTGTGCAGTGTATATAGACTCTAATCTCATCTTCATCCAGGGGAGAATTGTATCAGTCGTCTGTCGAGCCAAGAAGTTCTTGGTCGAGCTGATCAATATTACTTGAATACGAATCCAACCGCCTTCATCATGGCGTTTACTATTCTGGGGTTTACCGTTTCATGGCCTTTGGTTGGTACATTAGTAGCCATCATTGTTGGGTAAGTAATTATTGCTTAATTTGTTCTGTATAGTGATAAGTGGTGCCATATATAATTACTATAGCACTGGAGCTCGCTGGAGAGTCCAATTTATCATAGTAGTAGTAGTATAGTAGTAGTACTCGGCCGTTTATATAGGCTACTGTAGTACGAATATACGTACTGCGATCAGGGAGGTGAGACAAACCTAGCTGCAACAGTAAAGAGAGACAAATAAGCTATGCTTCCTGTCAGTATACCCAAAGTTAGACCGAATTTTTCTGTCTCTTTCGTTCGTTAGCCTCTGATTTGGGTAGGTCGGCTCTACCCAAATCAGAGGCTAACGAACGAAAGAGACAGAAAAATTCGGTCTAACCCAAAGTAAGTAAGTAATAGTGCTACCATCAATCATACTACTGTACTGGTAATGTCATGCAGACAGTAGCTAGTGGTCAGGACGTTAAATTTCAATCCATGTTCCTTTGAATGCGAAGCAAAGTATACAAGCACTAATTTTCCTTTCGCCAGTGCCATGCACTAGCACAATCCTAGTTGTTACTCCTTGCCATTATATACCTACTGTATAGTTTACTGTGTAAAGGGGCCCCGTTCACAAGCTGTGCTTCACTGGGGCCCCAAACCTATCATTCTTGTGTTCCTTGCTGTTATATCTTGTACCATTGTTTATGTTTGATTTGGTTTGAATAAACTTGAACTTGAACTTGAACTTGAACTTGAACATGTTTAAGGTGCCAGGTGGCAGAGGTAAAACAGGTAGGCCCATAGGCATAACAAAGGGGGTGCAAATGTGTCTATTGTAAGATAAAAAAAATGCAAAAATTTCTCCTACACCTTATGTAATGACTAATATCCTCCCCTCCCCTCCTATACCCAGTAAAATACTAGTGACAGGCCTGTACAAGTGCCTTTTGTCTGAATGCGTACTTGCCCTTTTTTATTCTAATAAAGTATAAATGTCAGACTCAGAGGTAAAAAAATTGATCCCTACATAAACATGATAAAAGTTACTAAAGAAAATCATTTTATGAAGGTCAAATGAAAGACACTACTATAAATCATGGTAAAAAATAATGATGAGAGTGACAATGATAATGACAATGACAATAATTATAATAAGAAGAAGAAGAAGTAGAAGAAGGAGAATACAGTTAATAATAATAATTCAAAAATGATTATTAATAATAATAATACCAATAATGAAAATAATGATATGTTGATTGATGATGATGTGGGGAATGATAATGGTATTGATGACAATTATTATAACAATAATGATGATGAATAACAAATATTAGGCCTGGAATGTCATGCCAAAATCAATTTCATTGACTGGAGTGTGGCACTCGAGAATAATCTTAAAGCATATTATGGGTGAGATATTTCTCAATAAAGAGAGATTCTGGGAGAATTTGCTGAGAGAACATTGATAAATGAGAATTCATGTGTGACTAGCAACCACAGATTAAGCAATTTGACCCAAGGTTGATTAATCCTGTGATCATTTGTAGAATTAATGAGATAAAGTCTACACTGATATCAATCAAACTAGTATGTATGGTCCTGGTAGGCCTACACTTATTACATGTCACTAACAAAAATTGAAGTTCAATGGAGAAAAAAAATGTATGAGCAAAATTATGAAGTCAATAATTGGTAAGTGATGAAATGACAATCAAATTACAACGCACATACTCGAAATGAAAAATAATTTGCTCCAACCTATAAATTATAATCCTTTTCATCAGTTTAATTTATTTGTTAGGTTTTCATACAGTATTCTAAGCTGACATGTCACATACCGGTACTCTTATAGCAGTGGTCTTGTACCTCTTGAAACCTCCTGCCAACTCCACTGATTACATAACATCTACAAATATTTATTTACTTGCTTAGCATTCAGGTAAAAATTAACCCGGTGCTCCTGATAAGTATTGATTCTTTCATATAGTAAGATCCTAGATGTATAACAAAGAATGATTTTTTGTCATGTACATGTAGCATGTTTTAACTTCCTCTTATTCTTTTAATCCAAGGTATGAAATTTGGCATATGACATATTTCAAACGGAAAGGAATCAAGGGGCCAAATCCTTTTCCTGTTGTGGGCAACTCGATTGATTTGTTTCAAGTAAGTATATGGAGAAACAGTGGTTGAAACTTGAAATATATTACTGTAGGCTTGAATACAATAATTTGTTACAATAGAGCTCTGTCTGAAGGTAAAGGCATAATAATAACAAAAATAATAATGTTTAATTTTCTTGAAACCCTTGTTATGTCGTAGTCATTATGTGCAAAACAAGTGACAAGAGAGCTGAAATGATCTTTCTTTTAAATGAGTAAATTAATTACTGAGCTTGAACTTTGTTGGAAGAGATCAGTTGTGATGACAGCTGAAGCAGGTTCATATTGATTGATAACATGTAGAAGGTAATAGTGTTATGAGAAATCTGACAAGTCTGACATATACGAATAAGTGAGAGTTACAATTCCCATTCATTTGAATCTACTGTGTTTTATTTCACAGGGAATTCATTGGAAGACTCAAGAATATGTCAAAAAGTATGGAAATGTCTTTGGGTAAGTATATTTGTTTTCTTTTACAAATATTGCTAGAGGTGAATCTATATCAGGGAGCTTCCCCTTATAAGAAAAGGATCAACATGAAATACAAGCCTATATTTTTGGAATATGTGTGAAAATAGATTTTTTTTTTTTTTTTTTTCGGGAGGGGGGGGGGGGAGATTATTAAACTTTTTGGAGGAGGGGATATTTTCTTTGTGTCTCAACATCCCCCCGCCCCCGCCCCCACCCCCTCTCAGACGATCTGGAGAAGGCTAATAGGATTGGACAATCCTGGATCTGCCCCTGATATAACTGTAGTTCCTGTAGGCATGGTATAACATTTTGTTTTAAAAATTGCATAAGTGAGAACAAATGCATTTGTCAAAATGTTAATTTTTTCTAACAACCCTTCTTACCAATATTAACATATCTAGTGTCTGTTATCTAAAGTCCATCGAATGTTATAATGGTCTTCACATTTCACATTTTCAGCTTGTTCATGCTTTCGTCGCCTGTGTTCGTCATAAGTGACCTTGAAATGGTGAAGGATATCACAGTCAAGAGTTTCAGCAAATTCATGAACCACAAGGTAACTTTATAGAATGGAACCTCTTCATGTAGGCCTACAGCTTGGAAGACTAATGGTCATAGTCAAGTTACGTCGTCTGAAATTCTGTGAGACAATTCCCTCACTTTTACCATAATGATGCAAGGTGATGATGATGATGATGAACAGCATTTGTATGGCGATATGTCTGTTTCAAAAAACATTCAAAGGTGGTTGAATTTGTTTTCAAAACTGACTTCATATAGAAGAACTTACCTTTTTTTTGTGGTTAGAAATTCATGCTATGGAACTTTTATGAGTTTTGCTCAATCTGTACCAATTTCTTTCTTCTCCTTCTTTTAGTTCTTAATTTTCTATCACTTTTCCTTTTATTTCTTTTAGAACAACTAGAATGGATTATTTTTGGTATAGGAATTATTCAGCCTGCTTGGAAAACATCATTTGGTAATATATTGCTCGGATTACAAAACTAATAAATTAGCTTGATGATGTCATTGATTTAATATTTGAATAATTCCATCTTAAAATGATTCATGTTTCTTCTTTCAGACATTTGTGTTGAAGTCTCGGCCATTTGACAAGGTATTAACGAGCCTTAAAGATCAGCACTGGAAGGATGTGAGAAATGTCATTACACCATCCTTCAGCGCAGTCAAGATGAAACAGGTATCTTTTCATGGAATAACATATATGGTACAACGAAAATCTGCTGTAAAGCGTATCTGATACAGAATTATTTCTAGCCTACGTCTGTCTATACAGAAACTGTTTCTAAAGTGTTTTGTGGTCATCAATTTGGAATAAAATAAAGAAACATTATTCAATTGTCATATCACATGATGTTTTAATTCTAATACTATTTATTAATGTAATAAATGGGCAAAGGCAAATTATAGGTTTTTTCAGACCCAACTCCTGCCTCTGATCATGAAAAAGAAAATGACACAAGGTCAGTGTGTGCAGATGTGCATTATTCATCTGAATTTTGTAGAGAATGTATGAGGAAATGGAACGCATGACACACTTAGTTCCTATTGGAAGTTGAATTAAATTTATGATATGATCGTGGCATATAGATCTGTAAAACATCCTTTATATTGTGTACGTTTTATCTTTGTGAATTCCATCGTGCAGCTGTCGGTATTACTCAATGAATCCAGTGACACTTTGGTGAAAAACTTTGGAGTAATTCAGGAGAAGGAGGGCAAGGTGAAAGTATTTGAGTAAGCTCGTGATAAATCATTGTAATGTGAAACCTTCAATAGTCCATCTCAATTGAAAATCAACTTTTTCGTTGCATATTATGCTTCCAAACAGCACCAAATTTGTTGAAATGAAGAGTTTGTGATTCTTTAATGTTCAAGTTTAAACAAAAGTTGATGATTTTGATACTCTGTTTAGCTCTATAGCTGGACTCAGAACTAGCTCGACTTGCCAGTTTGAGAAATTGGTGATACAATCGGAGGGCTTGACACAATTCAACAGAGCTGTCATCCACTAGCCAGATATACATGTAGTACAAGTATTTAAGTTATGTTATTTAAGTCCAATTGTAACTTGTCATAACCAAGTTTTAGTCCCTATGAAATTAAGTAGGGTTTCTCACTTTCCCATTTTTTTTGTTCTTTCTCTAGTTTATTTGAAGCCTTCACAATGGATGGAATTGCCAAGTGTGGATTTGGAATACAAGTAGATTCACAGAACGACCCCAGTGATCCTTTTGTCACCAATGCTAAGGACTTGATGAAGAACACGTTCTCTTTGAAGTTTCTGATTGCTGGTGAGTTGAAATAGCATCGTAATTAAACCAACTTCAGCTGGGATGAAAAGTATTGACTCTGAATAGCTCATTCTTTAATGTAATGAATTATTGAAATCAAAAGAAAATGTTTGGCCCAGAACACATGGTACAGTACACAAGAAGACCTTGTGTAGTCATATGTGGACACCCTTATCCTCTGAGACAGGGCAACTGATTTTCATGTATATTCATCATGCATCCTAGTGCAATCAAATATGATTTAGTACCCCGCATTTGTTAAGCTTATGATAGATTTTCTTTATCATTAGATTTCTTTTTTGTTATTTCAAGTAACATTGCCTTAATGACTTTTATTTGGTATATGTTATGCTAAATTGAGGGTATATCTTTGGTGATTACAGAGTCTACTCTATATTGTGAAAAAAAAAGGGATGGGTGAATAATTTACTTTGAATCGATCACTGATCATCCGCGGTAGATGTGCCATCATATTCAAAGTTCCTTTATAATGACAAGTTATTGCCATGGGGTGCATTTTTCATATTGCAAACATTTTCTTTTTTGGAGCACATAGAAATATTTGAAATTACCAACAGTTGAATTGAGTGTTATTATTCAAAATTGAATGCTGTAGATATTGCTTTCGTTTTAATCATGATAGTGATCCCATGGTGTTTGTTTCTTTTTGTCAGCAACATTCCCTGGAATTGGCAAAATAATGGATTACTATGGAGTCAGCACAATATCACCTAAAATTGCGAGCTTTTTCCTATCTGTGGTTGATCAAGCTATCGCTGCTCGCAAGGAGAGTGGGGGCTCAAAGGTATCTACCGGTATCTGTATGGTATATCTGTAAAGCGCTTAGACACATCATTGATGTATTAAGCGCTATAAAAAAGCTGAATATTGTTATTATCACTAGAACTTGGTAAGGACGAACTGCCTCTTGATAGATTTACACGTCCGTGATAGAATGGGTTTTGTTCTGTAAATAGTTGTACTTTAACTTGAAACAGCATATTTTTTTTAATTTGTTAAATTGATGAAGAATTTGCAAAGATGGGTCTTACAGTTATAGTTGTGTTTTAAATCTGATTAGCTAATACAATTTCTGTATGTAGTTCAGATTGTTATAGTGCATTCATAAGACCATAAGGAAGTGCCAATGGCATGTTTTCTTGGTTAATCAGTAAACACCACTGTGCTTCCACTGTGGTGATGTATCGATAAAGCTTATAACTCTCATACTAGATATACTAGGTTCACTCCTTGCTTGGTGCTTACACAAATTCCTTGGACAAGGTGTTTTGCCCTCATTTGTCCCTTTCTTCTCAATTCAATACTTATTTCAGAAATAAAAGTATTTTACTCAGTTTGGGGAATAGATCAAATACTTAACCACAATTTGTTATTCAGTTCAATCTTTTGGCTAAGCTTACCGTACATACTCTTTTTAAAGTTGAAGACAGCTCCCAAGCAGACTTGAGCCTAGTATTTTGGAGGCCTTGGTTAGCAGGGTTATGGTTTTCATACGCAGTCATCAAAAGCTGTGCACAATTATATTACCATTCATTTATGATGCATTAATTGTGCATTATTTTGGATCAACCATGTGACATCACAATGCTAATCAATAAGTAGTTTGCCTTAAAGTCGGCTTGCTAAAGTAAAAATGCTTCTATGTGGTGTTTATATGAAATGAGTCATTTTACTTAAGTCCCGGTCCCACTGCACTTACGGATGCAAAGAGGATGTAAAACGTAAACAAATCTTGCCATCCGTTGGAAAACGCTACGCATCTGTTGTGTACTCATTACATACGTGTTTCATACGCTCTATCCATCCAGCATCCGTCCACTGTGATTTCATCCGCGCAAAAGTTTTGAGCTGCACAAAACTTTTAGAACAGATGAACTTCCGCCGTGTACAATGAAAATCCGTGACAAATATGAGCAACAAACGTTCTATGTTCGTTATCATCCGTTAAACGTCCGCTGTATCCTCTCTGCATCCTCTGGGCATCCTGGCAGCTCACATCCGCTGCAGCTGAAAACGGAAAGAGGGAGGAAAGATAAGGTACATGGAACGTCTATACATCGTTAGTAGCATGGAAATAGAAAGGATGTAAGCGTATGCATCTCGTATATGAAATATTCAAAGCTGTCATCCACTTCCATCCGCTTTCATCCGCTAGGCTTTCGCGCGATGAACATCCGTTTAACATCCCCGCTACATACTACCCACGTCCGTTATTTTTCTATCTGTTTTCGCAAATTTTCGCAAATTTTGTCCATTTCTGGAGCGGATGAAAATGGATGGAGCCACACCCAAAATTTTGGTCGTCCGCTGTGTCCGTTATGCATACGTTTTGTGTTCATCGGCCAGTGGGACCGGGCCATTAGCTGTACCAATGCTAAGCAAATACTAGCTTCATCCACGTATTGAATATGGCCCAGGTATTTCCAGTGCTTTCCTCGTATATTGATACAGGGCCCCTTGGTCGAGCAGTTTTTATAACTGTCCTTGAATTATGTTATGTCCTATTAATAGATGAAAGACTTCCTTCAGCTCATGTTGAATGCAGCACAGGAGAACAAATCAGAGAAAGACAAACCGCAGGACGAGAAAGTAGAAGGTGATCTTCATGCTTTGATCGAAGACCAGGACAACAAAAGCTACTTTGATTTGAAGAAGAGTAAAAAGACAACTCTCACAAAGGATGAGATATACGGACAGGTATGAGTGTATCATGCTATAATTCTCCATCAATTAATATAGTCCATACAAAATCTTTCAGAAAAATCATTTTCCGATTATTTGCATATTTATATTTATCAAGTCAGTCTTGTTTCAATATATTTTTCTACTTTTTAAATACTAAAGATACCTTCGGACTGTTCTTCCAATTGTATTGTAAAGTCAGATCATAGTGAGCTTCTAGGGGGGAATTACACCATCAACCAGTTCTCCCAGATGGCAAAATGATAACTCCTTCTGTTGTGTTTTATAACTGACCGGTCTTTTGTAATGCACTTTAATATATCTGAGAAGATTCCATCCTGGGAGGAACGTTTATCAAAATAAAGTGCTCTCCGAACCAAATTAAATGCTCTCTTTATATATAAAGAGCCCCAAAAATTGCATAGAGTTCAACGCGAAACAAAATAAAAAAGTGTTATTTTCATGCAAGCAAGCTTGGAATGTAGCCCCCGAAATTTTTAAAGTATTTTTTTTCAGTGCCATGCACTCAGTTGTTCTAAGGACTCTTTGCTTTGTGAGATATTTACTTTATATATAGTCATTTAGAATTCTACCTAGTCTGCTATGAGTGAACTATATAACACATTACACATAGAAACTCCCCAAATTGGCACTTAAATGCAAAATAGCGTATTTTAGCTCTCTCCTTTGCCTCATTTACTAGGCTATAATCTTCTTTCTGGCTGGGTATGCAACCATCCACACAACGCTTGGTTTCGTGACCTATTGCCTGGCTACTAATCCTGAGGTTCAAGACAAACTCATTGAAGAAATTGATAACGAAACTCCGACTAGAGACGACGTTGGCTATAACTCCATTGCAAAGATGTCCTATTTGGACAACGTTGTTTGTGAGATTCTTCGGCTCTATCCTGCATCCGTTCTGTGAGTATTATAGAAAAATATAAACTACTTTGAGAATTAAACTATGATTAAATCTACAAAGTCAACGTAACAACAGTAGTGCTGTATAGTTGGCAAAATAGAAATAGGATAGCTCCTTCAAGGTACCCATTACACCTGGGTGGAGTGGTAAATGTACATTAGATTATTGTCTTATCGCAGGACATTAGTGCCATTGCAGGGAATTGAACCCTGCACCTTGTGATCTCTAGTTTATTGATGTATCCACTATACCTGCATTACCTCTATTCCTATTTCAGAGTTGAACGACAGTGTAATGAAACCCATGTCTGCAATGGCATCACCATCCCTAAAGATAGTCAAGTCATGTTCCCTGTCTTTGCCATCCATCGTGACCCTGCACTCTGGCCCGATCCAGAGAAGTTTGACCCTGAAAGGTAAGATTTTTAACTAGATGTGCATGTAGAGCAGGTTACTAGACCTTGGTGGAGAGGAGGTAACTAGGGGGAAGTTAGAGAGAGAGATTCTGTCATTCAGTTGGGAAATTTCCTGACTTTCCATGCACTGGTCTATGTAGATTCAAGGTTTGTTATAATCAAGAGGGTTGAATTTAAAGAATGTGAATAGATTTTGTAAGTACTTCATGACATTTTGCTCATACTTTATACCTACTGCAAAGATCCTGAGTCACTTTTTACACTTGAGGTGACATATAGGGTTTGGTTGTAGAGGTTGATGGGGGTTATTTTTGGGGTTAATGTATCTGGACTTGTGAGTCTGAGGTAATCTGAATTCAACCTATTCACTAACTGCATTTAATGGCTGTAAACAAGTAGCATAGCCATCACCAGTAAAGAAGAGATAGTTATCTGGCCATAAGCCATGCTCGTACATAGATCATATTCATGGAGCCCTGAAAATAATTCCCTCCCGTAAAGATTGTATGTGTGGGAGAAGCTATTTGTAGCTCCGTGAATTGACCTATGAGCAAGCATGCGTGTGTTTGTGTTTGTGTTTGTGTGTGTGTGTGTCACAACTATCTCTCTACTCTAGCTATGAGCACACCTATCATTGGGTGTTGAGAACAATCTCAATGTATTCATCTCCATTATGTAGGTTCACTAAGGAGAACCGGGAGGGGCGTCACCCCTTGGCCTGGATGCCATTTGGTGCTGGTCCTAGGAACTGCATCGGGATGAGGTTTGCTTTGATGGAGATCAAGATGGCCACCGTTCGTCTTCTCCAGAAGTACCGCTTTGAGACCTGCCCAGAGACTCCGGTAGGATACAACCTCACTTTCATGCCTCGTTCAGCTCAGACTCATTCAGAAATCAATCTTTTTACAAGTACAGTGTATAAGTGGCAAAGTGGAGATGTAAATGAGATAGATCCTAGTGTACTTCATTAATAATAATAATAATAATACACAACATTTATTAGGCGCTTAATACAGGTGTTTCTAAGCACACCATTGTCTGACTAAAAATTACCAACCAAAGCTGAAAATAAACACACAAAATATAAATCTGTTCTTTATTCAATAAATCATGCATATATAATAATAAAAATGAGATCAAACATAAGGTGAGACATATGATCAAACATAAGATCAAACAAACAAGGAATAAGATGGTGTGCACCTCTTTTGACCGACCCTCAACTGCAGAATATTATTCATATTAGCTCTGTGTTATGAGGTACACCGTAAATGTGAAGTGCACAATATTTATTTCTTGTTAATATACCACAGCAATTTATGGAGGCAGGTTACTGCCTTGAAGGTTGCAGTTAATTTGTATGCAGATTATATAGATGACCAGACTCTGTTATAGTTACAGGTAGTTCATGGTCATACTGTTTAAGTTTTATTTTGTCTTCCTCCTCTTCCTCTCTCCCTCCTTTATTGCTCAGATCCCCGTGAAATTTGCCAAAATGGGCCTCAAACCTGACGATGATTTGTATCTTCGTGTTGTGGAGAGAAGCTAGACCAAAGGAACAAGACTGAAATTTCAAGGGTCAGGATATGGTTAAAGGATAAATGAATTAGCTTTGATTCTTTAAATTGGCAGCACATATTCTTGTACTGTTTCTTCAACATGAAAAGAAAGATATTTTATTGTAATCAAAACTCATTTCAAAGAAAAGTATAGCAATACAGAAATGTGCAGATGTCACAATTATAATAGTCATAACCAGGTCCATGAGCCTATTCGGTTTCCAGACAGGTTTGCACAATAAAACATGGGATATAATTACCATAAATGATTTTTTATTTTATTTTTTTAAATTTTAAATTTTTTTTTTTTATATATATATTTTTTTATAAATATTTTTAATTCCCAATTCTTATAGAATTTATGTTTTGTATTCAAAGTGCCAATTCAGTGTTTTGATTTTATTTTCTATTTGAAGTCCCATGTATCAGCACATTTGTTTGTCAATTTAACAGAAAAGGGGGAAATGTGATTCTGCCTTTTCAGGTGATAATGTGAAGTTTAATATGCTAAACCAGTTTGGAACTTTATGTACTGAACAGGATGACATGTATTGATCTGATCACCCAAGTATTCTGCTAGTGGGGATGATTTTGTGTATGATAGAAGATACTTAGTGCCAAGCAATTTACACTTTAATACTGTGGTATACTGGTGAAGGCCTGTGACGCTCTTCCAAAAGTTCCAGGGTTTCATCCTTGCCCGGTTCTTACGTCCTTCTCAACTCAGGAGTATTAAGTTAACCTGGCAATAATGGGGTAATAATAATTCAAGGGCCTACAAGAAAAGTAGAACTGACGTTGTCCAGGGTAATTGAAACCAGATTATTCTTATTAAGATATCTGTATGAAATCTTGTACTTTGAAAAACAAAATTACTTCCTAAATCTTTTGTGTCAGGCTCTGTAAATTCTGTTCCTTTTGATGACCACATAAAGTATCAAAAAAGTATCTTTTTAAATCAAAACCTTTCTGATGTAAAAAAAAAGCTACATTTGATAAATGTTATACAAAGAACTATTCATGTACTTGATTATTGCTATTTTGTCAGTTTTGATCTTGTAACTTTTGTATGATAGTGAAAATTTCATAAGGAAATCATAGTGCTCTGTGTCATCCATTATTAAATTAGCTACATGTATATGAATGAACCACATGTGGTATATTTGTTTCTACTTCTATTTTTTGTGCTTATTGTAGCCATATTGATCATCATATGATGTATATATGCAAAGTAGATAGCAATGGATAGATATTAAGGTAAAATACATAATGGTCTTATGTAAATAAAGTCATATGGTCTGAATAGGTATTTTATCAATCAATTTACAAGGGAGTTGTTCCAATATTAGATTTCATTTCTTACAAAGAAGCATCGGAACCTATGACTGTAAAATTTCACACACAAGATCTGAATGATAAATTTTAAACACTTGCCAAGGTTCATGGAGTTTGCACGAATCTACAAAAAGGACTTACTGCCTTTATGTCTTTGTCTATTCATGTATGTGTAGTAGATTATTTTCACAATTTCATTGCATTCATTTAGGTTTTAGCACTGTGCGTTAAAGTAGCATTGATTTTTAGAAGTAATTCTTATAGCTTGAAGCTATAATCCTCACATAGGCCTAAAGATGTATTTGAAAATTCCATATGAAAGTCTAAACTTCTTAAAGTGTGTGCATTCAATCATTGGTAAATCACTTTATTGATTCACCTTTTTTGTTAAAGTGGTGTTCCTGTAAAATATATTGAAGTCACAAATCAAATGAAGGTTAACAACTTGATACTAAGTACCGTTACTGTATATTGAATTGCCTTCTTTCTTGCATAATTACCTGGGCATTTTTTGCATTCGACCTTGGTATGCTGGGGATGCACTTCATCAAATGTGGATTGAAAAGTTTGATGAAATAGTGGAAGGGGACATGTTGATACCCCCTCAAAACTGGATTAATGTGTTACATATTTATAAGGTTCCCTTTGGGTTATATGATGACTTGATTTACATGTACTGAGCAAGTGAGCAACATTTCACACTTTGCATAGGCTACATGCCGAAAGCCTCTAGCTGGCTGTGTATTATGTATTGCCTTTTTCATGGACTATGGACTATAGAGCAGGGGTCGATCAAATGATATCAAATGTAAAAACAATCAGGACATCATATTTTGCCCCCATGCAAACCAAGGTCAATGTCCATGTTAAAATTAAAATGTTATCTTGTTTGATTTGTAATATTTATTAAATGTCATCTTAAGACTTTAAGTGTGCATTAGTAACGTTCAATTAATGTACTTGATTGTATATAACATAACAAAATTAATTAAATTTATTTTTCTATGAAGGCAAAATTTTCACCAAAGATGTAAACAAAAGAAATCTTGGGGGGGGGGGGGGGGAAGAGCACAATTTTTTTTTTTTTTTTTTGTGTCCCAAAATTTGGACGATCGTTATTTCGTTTCGTTGGGGGGGGGGGTAAGGTCAGCTTTTTTGGGTCACCCATTACCACAATTTCATTTTTATTTTTTTATTTTTGTATACAAAAAAAAGGGGGGTTTCCTCCAAAACACACACATACAAAAAGTTCAAGGGGGGGGGTTCAACCCCCAAAAGCCCCCCCCCCCTGTGTACCCGCCTGATTTATACCATATCTAAGCATCTTAAGATTAATTGTCCAATAAATGGAACTTCCAAAAGTCAATTAGTTGTCAAAATGGTACAAAAAAGCTCTTCAACACATATTTGGCTATATTAGAATCTTCTCATATTCTGAACATATCACTAAAACATACACTCCACACGCAAAGAATGACACTTTTCTTAAGAGTAGAGGAATCCTTGCATTCAGCATGTCATGACACCAACTGAATGAAAGCTATATGCAGAGTGGCAGTACCTACTGTTTTACTGCCAATCCACTGCATACTCCAAGCAATGATCATTCATATACTGTATCTAGTGGAATTCTACACAAGATGGCCTTTTTAGTCATTGGAAAATTGAAAATACTTTTTTTTATCTTGCCTGGTTTTACAATAATATGTGTATTTTATCCATTTATTTTCATTTTGCTTCTTACATTTTTCATTGTATGAAATTGTAGATGTCAACACCATTGAGAGCTGGGTTGTGAAGTACAGACAACTCCTATAAATGATTTTATATTTTAGAATTGGTTAATTAAAATAATGAAAAGAAATGGCCACTCGATGACTCGGGTCCAGCTAATTATGAATCAGGTTCGTTTTCCCAGTAATATGTCCACCTAATCAGGAATATAATCTTCTCATTATGACACAGAGGGTAAAGATCCATGGATTTAGTTAGCTTGAGAGCACATTATGTTCTACATCACTTGATTACACAATAAGGATGATTCATACGATGGATGGATGACCGGGGGGGGGGGGGGGGAGGAGAGCAGAGATTCCCAACTCCATGTCATTCAGGAATTGATTGAAGAAATAAAACTGGTGCATAGATCAATGAACTGAGAGAAAGAGATATATTATACAGAGACAGCAAGAGAGAGAGACAAAGAGAGAGACAGAGAGAGGCAGAGAGATAGAGAGAGAGAGAGAGGTGGGGTGGAGGAGACGTACAGACAACGGTGTAGAGAGAGAGGAGAGGGGAAGGAAAGAGAGAGAGAGAGAGTGGCAGGTTATTGTTTTTGTCCTTGATAATGAACAGACATTATGTTATAACATAGGGTACAAGGTTACGGGTGTTACTTAAAGCATTAATTTACAAATTATATGTTCCGTAAAAACACACGAAAACTTTGATATTGGCTTAAACAAATTAATTAAAGGAATTATGTTTGCCAAAATAAAAGGAAGACCATTATTACAATGCATTTTTACGATCACTTGACGGAGCTCCGGCGATGGTTCCTTTTCCTCTCATAAAACAAAAAAAAATGTGACCTCTTCTGTCAACTTGAGGTCATCCAGTTTATGAAAAACATGGTTTTAGAATCCAGGTGCATTTTGGATGAAAACACAAAACGTAACACAAATATATGTGTTACTAAAATTTAAAGAAATGAATCTTTGACATTTCCATTTTTAATCCAATTTTCCAATTTTCCATCTCAAATTCCTCTAAATAACTTGAACCTTACATTCACTATTAACATGATGGACAAAGAAAGAGGACAACATATACAGTTCCTCAGGTAGACAAAGGAACATCCCTTCACTGCTATTATGTAAAAATGTGTAGAGCAGGTGTCACATGCATATTCACCTGTTCTACACATTTTTACATAATAGCAGTGAAGGGATGTTCCTTTGTCTACCTGAGGAACTGTATATTTTGTCCTCTTTCTTTGTCCGTCATATTCATAGTGAATATTGCTATACCCCCTTCCTCTTCTACTTCAAAATCACACGAGTATAAGATATTTTTTAGGCCAACAGACAATTTTCGTAATGTAATCAAAATAATGCATATGACAATCTTTGTTAAGTGCATTATACAAATTATTTCATTCATACAAATAAATGTATTTCAATAGTCAGAATGTAAATTGCGTACATTAGTTGGACATTCGGGGTAGGACAAACATTATGGCTTGTCCTACCTTACAACACGTAATGTATGCAATTCGCATTCTGACTATTTCAATACAATTATTCGTAACAGGTGAATGAAATAATTTGTAACCAGGCGTTGATAGATTTATGCAATAATTTGATTACTTTACGAAATGGCCTATTGTACACTGGGTGACGTGTTACAAACATTCACGTACCCTGTCCAAATTTTAAAAGCACTGCATTGTCTTGAGACGGACAGACATCAAAGTTTACACCGAGGCTTGAAAGTGGGACCAATCAGACTCCACAGGGTATACATCAAAAGAAAAGGGCCGAAAGAAAGACCGCAACTGATTAAATGAAGATTCTACACAAGTGCTATGCAGCGGTGTATCCAGAATGGAGGGAGTGGGAGGGGAAGGGGAGGGGGGAAGGGGAGGGGCGAGGGAATTGAATGTACCTGGGTTACTCGCGGGCAGTAGAGACTTGCTGAAAAATTTCATAGGAGTTAACTGTTAAACCGGGAGTAGGGCTTGCTGTGTATGCCAATAGGCATGGGCGGGGGGGGGGGGGGGGGGAGTTAAATATAATGGCAGTTACCACCACCTCATAACTATTCGGGCAACGAGACGTCAGGATTACTCCATTTTCGGTGCAAGGTGCCAGAATATTAAATGTGCATACCTTTTGGGGGGGTATTTTAATTGCAAGATTACATTTTTATCATATTTATAATAAAGAGTCACTTGCTAAAAGAATATTTCATATTTAGAAACAGGAACGTTGATGAATCGCTGTAAGATGCGTCAATTCTACCCCCTCACCCTTCAGCGAAAATATGCTGGTAAAATTATGCATACGCTATACCAGTTAATTTGTTTACCATCTGGAAATATTCAATAATTAAGTACACTTAAAGGTAATACAAAGTTTTGGTATGGGGTCATGAATTTGGTTCAAATAATCATATTGGAAGCGTATGTGATCCTACAATATTCAATGATCGTTGTCGCGGTTGAAATCGAGTCTAAAGTCATGAAATCCTGAATAATAAACTCTTTATGTTGTATAGCTCCCTCTCGAGATTGATATTACTTTAGCTTTAAAACAATGTTGTATCGACTAAAATCGACCGATTTTCTATTCCCGTTCGGAAATTATATATCAGAAATGCATATTCCGAGATTGTCATGGTCGCAGCTACTATATGGCAGCTATTGTATGGGCGTAGGCGCTATTTTTTAATTTCTCGAAATCCTTAGCGTTTTAGGGCCCAATTTTACAAAGTTGCTTATTCTAACACTAGGTTTCACAACGGTAATGCAAATATTAAATTTCATAATCCAATCCTGTTGAAATGTTACCAAAACTTTGTATTACTTTTAGTTTTAAGCATTTTGAGCGGGAGTATTTTCGTATAGAATATATTATTTATTTTGGCAAAGGTAGACATTGTAGGCCTATTGTGTATTTCTATATTCTTCTCGTCGTTTGTTTAAACAGCATTTAGCATATTGTACTATAATGTTGTGGCATGTATAGATGCGGAATGGAACATTCAAGTAAAACAATATGGGGTCGACCTTTAATTCAAGCATGATATATTTTTATTTTCATAATAGCTTATCTTTTTAAAATTTAAACGCAATGGAAAAAGGAGGTAAGTGATGAAATTTCTTCTCAAACCCCACCGCTGTATCAAGCATAATGTGTACATTTTCAATTGAAAAAAAACATTTAGTCATTTTACTATGACATGATGCCGTTTTTAGCATGACAATTTTATTGGTTGTCTCAGAGAAGCCTCTGTGTGCCTAATCACCATAATAAGCTTACAATGGTACGATTGTCAGACAATGAAGCGCCGCTGAAAGCAGCCGTCGGGTCGGGCTGACAGACCCCTTCTCGTCTGTCTGTATCATACTACAAAATACACACAAACTTGTTATTAATCCACCCGTTAATCCACTTGTCTACTAGACATTCTCGTCCAGACAAACATTCCACAAATATTTGTTGACAAACTTGTCCGCAGCATCATAACAATAGGCAGCGGGTGCGTTCTGTGAGCACAACCGACGCGCGCATTGCTGCAGACAGCAATAACAAAAGCGTGGCGGGAGAAATCCCGTTCGGGCTGAAATGTATGGATGTGAACGAGCTCGACCGGCATTTGAAGCACGTGGACATAATGCCGGGGAAGGTAGTAGAATCATCAAACAAAAACAAATTCTTCTTCGTTATCTTATCAATAGGGTTGGAGACCGGAGTCTATGTTCGCACACAGGAGGCGTAGCATGTTTGCATAAATTTTCATTCCGTGACAGAGACTCGACGGCTAGAAAACAAAAAAGAAAGAATGCAGATAATACTATCAAATGAATATGCATGATGAAGGCGTGTCCACTTCATGTCAATCTACGGAGATTGACTGATTGATTGACGGTAAGAACACACCCAGAACGTGTTTTTCATTGGTTCAAAGTTGAAACGCTTAACAGTGATGAACAAATGAGGGAGCCAGACCACTTTTAGGTCTGGTACGCACATTCAGCTCAGCACAGCTATTTTTTAGAGAGGTTAGTTTAGCAACAGTTTGCGTCAGTCATATTGGGTCTTTCTGAAGAATGCCTACCGGTACTAAGATGAACTTCCCGAACTAATTGCTAACACAGAAGAAAACTAGAATTTTGTAATACAAAATTACGGGACATCATTTATTTTGTTTTATTAACACATGAACAAATCTCTAGAAAAGCGATTTTGTTTACTGAAGGGAATACCGTATTCCTATAGGAGGCAAAACAATAGCTATCTTTTACCTAAACTCTCATTAAGGACTTTTAAAAATTAATTGGCTCGGTAACTGTTTACCCTGATAAGATTGCATCCTTATCTGACATAAACAAAATATCAAGTCAATACAAAAGCTGACTAGTGGATGATTAATCATTTCTCATTTTGAAATGCATCGAGACGAAATGATATCTAATGTATACAAATATAATAAACAAATTATTAAACAAATCGTCTGCTTAGAGCCAGGAGGACATTAATTCATGGCCTACTTTAAAAGAGAGTAAATGCCCTTGTGTCTCCAAACAGAAAACTTTGTTAAACTGTCAGTTAAAGAAATTATAACCATCATCACACACACAAAGTGCACGCCACAACAATCAGATACAAACCTGTATTGACTCAAGTCACGGATTTACACAAAAAACGTTGTAGAAAAAAAATGACGAAAGCCATACATTCACATGATCAACCTCAACATGACCATATTCAGATCTCGTAACCCTTTCATACAACATCAGAAGGAAAATAAAGAAACATGTTACCACACAATGTTGCTATGTACAAAACCACTGTGATTTAATGAGAAAAGCAACGACTACCCAAAACATAGAAATTTGCCATGCTTATGTTATCCAAGAAATCAATGGCATTATCAAGTGGAAAACTTCTCTCAAAACCGTTATACATCTTTATAAAAAAACTATTATTCTTGAGGTAAAATTATGATATTAGAATCAAGCTTTTCATAACAAAGTCATACGAAAGTCCCTAAGATATGTTCCGGATAATTTTTAAATGTTATCCTCTTTTTAAGTTTCATGTACAGACTAACAACGGTCCTAAAGGCTACCTCTTCTGAGAAGGAAATGCATTCAAATGTTTAAATGTTTCTTGATTGCCGCATCAAATGCAAACTTCCTAGCAAATGTCAATTTCTAAGATATTTGAAACTGCAAGGTATAGTTAAGTTGTCTGAAGTATAGTAAAATTCTTTGGATCAAAGGTAAATTTCTGAAAGTATGCTTATCTATGCCACTACTATATTCTTCTTAAGCAGTGAACATTAAAAGCTTAAAGTTATACAGATATATTCTTCAATTTAATGTAGATTTCTTTTTTTCTGTTCCCAACAGATTAAGAATAGGTGAATGAAATCATTTGGTAGTATATCTAAGCCTCTGGAGAGAGAAGAGATAAACTGAAAGTGACAGCAAAATGAAATGACTGGGAACACCAAAGCAGAACATTCAATTGAAGATTTGCAAATTGATTTCTGCATTGAGTTGTCTTCATACTATCATACCAAGGAAAACCCAAATGAAAATAAGAATCAGTAACCAATATATTTGGTACAAATTCCTGTTATTCAATACTTCTAGCCAATACATGACATAAACTGCTGAGTATCATATTCATAATAAAATTGCAGCACTTCTTTCGTAAGAAAACACTTTTTGGGATCTTAAAATCATCTTGCAGCTTAACTTGAATCAAATGACTACCACTCACTTAAGCAACTATTGTTACTTTGGTTTACTTGAGAGAAGAAGAGACAAAATGGATACAGAAATACCAGGCAACCTGCAGCAATCTAAAGTGATATTTTTATAATGTTTTCTTGGGGGTGGTCACCTTGACTTTTTTGAATTGACATGAGCTTCAACCGACATTGCAATAGGAGAGAATCTAGAATAAAGGGGAAACATATCACCCAAGAATTAATACATTTCATTAAGCAGAAGTGACCAACACAATTATAATAATTACCCCCTCCCCCATCACTGCTTTTTTATGTTTGAATCCACATGTGCAAATATTACATAGTTTGTAAATAAAAGTATACAATAAAAGAGGAATAAAAGAGCTTTGAAATATTATTTTCTTTAAGATATTAGTTTGCTGGACTAACCTTCTAGATGTTGAGTAATAATTGGACCCACTAGCATCCCAGAAGACCTTAGTCAAGTTAACTCAAGACATATTTATAGCAAATGAAATGTGTAACATCTTTAAAAGATCTTAAAATTTCTTTCTACATAGTACAACCAATGTACCACTGTTGTTGCTATTTACAAATTCTCCAAATCAAGTAATCAAACAAATTAAAATTCATCTTTGAATTATGTAAGTACAACTCTTGTTCAAGAACAAAACATAATGAAGGTATGAAAATGTACAATGCGATTATATGAGAAAAACATGAGGGGGAAAGGATATCAGCTGTTCTGATTTTGTACAACAAATTCCTGAAAATTTGTTAGCTTGAATAGATATGAATCACATAAATCTAAACAAAGTCGCCAAACAAATTTTTTGGTCATCATTAGAATTTACTTTCGTACTCAAACTCCTTAAAAAATGGACAAACATTACACTTTAGTTCAAAAATTAAATATATATCATATATTTTTAATTCACAACGTTGTCCTTGAAAGTTTATAGCCGGGTTAAGGAATTAAAACTATCAAGAAGAGCTTGTATTTAAATTAAACTATGCTCATGTACTGTATATATCATTTTATCAAAACAGATAGTAAAAGTATTATGAATCAAATTCTTTACTTCAGGTAAAATTCACTGATTTAAGGGCAAGATCTTAAATTTAACTTCTTTAAAAAAAGTCCCTTTAAAACTTATCCTTTACATTTTAAAAATAATTACCTAAAGATCAACAACAAAACTTCTATGCTGACTTGGTTCCTTTCCATTTTCCCCAATGCAGAAAATTTCTCCTTAAAACCAAGGTGAGATGACATTTTAACATTTACTTTAAAAAAAAACTTAATTTCACTCATTCAGAACAATGATTAATAAGTGCAACACTTTAAATTCTCCTTAGTGATGTGAAAGTGACAATTCTGTACAATAATTAAAATATGCATACAAACTATATGAATACTCTGATACAATTCACTACTTTTATCAGTTTAGTGACCCAACAAGACATACAATGTACATCAATCATTTTATATGCAGTAAAAAATAAGAGAGAGAGAGAAACATAAAGCAATATCTTCAGCTTTCCGTACACTACACCTGTACAAAGTCCTGAAACACAGTATGTAAAAATAAGTCCAACTTTTCCTTTCATGTTCCTACAAAAAACATGGATGATTTTTCATCATTATAATTCTGCTCACTGATAAGATATAAAAGTAGATATTTTCTGTCTTTCTAGTACTTTCTGCTTGTAGATATAACTCTCCACTTGTTAATTGTTATCTCTGTCATCTAGATTTTGTATTCTCATAGATAATTAGAAGAAAAAAATCACAAGTTTTCTTTTTCAGGCACTGATCAGTTGACACTTTTCATGAAAAAATATGTACAAAAATGAAGCAATTGAGAAGATCCTTCCCACTCGTGTATGTCTACATCTTTCAACTTTCCTGAAGATAATACTTCTAAAATATATGCACAACTGGTATGTTATACATGTACACTGCTTTATACCACCATCTGCTTGAAAACATAAAGACTGCTCTTTTTAAAATTCTATTTCTATAAATGTTACTCTCAAATACAAGAGTGCACTTTGAAACATTTGGAGGACAAACGCAAAAACCTGATGTAATCAAATTCAGTGGTAAACAAGTTTGGTAAAACAATCTCCACACATCCCAGCCTGACTTATCTCAGGTGTATTACAAGTAAACTCATACCCAATGCTTGCATTCATCGCAAGTTGAAATATACAGAATTCCATTCCTATAAAGCCATTTAACAATATAGAATACAGTGACCAGGGCCCAGATTAATAAAACCTTACTAAGCAAATTGTCAACCAATTACATATGCTATAGTTAGTTAACACCTAGCCCTTGTATGGTTTTTATGAATATGAGCCCAGGTCTCAAACCAAAAGTTTAAATTTGTTATCAATCAGTAACGTAGGAATCAAGAGCATCTCAAACTTCAATCCACCGTCATACTAGTCTGCTAATTGAACTGAATTTAAGCACATTTTTCTGAACTTTTCTCACATGAGAACCCCATGTTTTCATTCCCATTTTGCTCGGTTGCCGTGAGAAAAGATGTTAAGCATGCATCATGCCTTTAGGCTTGTTCTGATAATGGGGTAAACCCCTTAAATGTGCATAGAATGGGTTGTTAGTGATAGATATAATCACAACCATATGTTTTTCAAGTGTATTTATGAACAATCACTTATCTTGAACCCATCCTGAAATTAACATTAATCCTTTCCTGGTTTCACAAGTACAAGAATAAATGTGAAAAAGATACTTAATATTGTTAAAAAAGGTATAACAAAATGTAATATGAAGTATATACACGTGCTTGGCAGTGGTGAAAAATGAGTAACAGTTCTCTTGTTCCGTAAAAATAATGATGCTTAAAACCAGCTTGTAAGGACATACTCGTACACATTTTTAAAAAATGAATGTAAAAATACAAATCGTAATTTCCAAACATGTATAATTATGGTAACTGTGAAAATTCTTTTGAAATGTAAACTCTGATTTTGTGTTTCAAGCACATCCATACATGTAACACTTTCCACCATTCAAGTCAAGTTTTATATAGAGAATTTAAAGCTTAAAAACAAGATCTTGAACTTAGATCAATACTTTTATCACATGATACATTTCTTCCTGCATCAATCTGCATCTGTAGCATGCAAACACTATTTCAAAGCTTTAAGTGATTTAAATCTCTTCCTATGTTCAAACTGTGAACAGTTAAGAAACAGAAGGCAAAAAATGAAATTAAAATGAGTACTTGTCAAGCTGCTGGTATTTTACAGAGTAATGACTGAAAATGTGAATAAATTGCATTCATATATTAACACAACATACTGATACTACAATTAACATGCCAATGACAATACCTGATATTTATGTTATATAAACATCGAAACACATTTATCACATATCACAATAAATCTGACACACAGTTGAATATTCACAAGTCATGCAAAAAACTTTGACACTTCCCCCACATACGATTATTTCTGATAAACTTGACAAATATCTGTATGAAATATACTTTGTTCTCTTAAAAAAATACAAAATTACCAATCTTCGATAAGGTCTATGTTGTACTGGTAAAAAATAATTGACTTTCCCTAATCCGCAGAGTAAGCCTCTAAACATGTACGGTACTGATGTCATTTTTCGCCTAGGTAGAACTGAAAGTTATCTGTACTGAGAGATCAAATAGTACTACTGATATGAGTGAAAAACCTTTCTAATGACAGTAAAAGATAAGGCTATCATATATTTCTCTTAATCCTTACAAATAAGTTTCATCAAATCATGCACAAGATATATATTCAGATGATGCAAGACGCTTGCATGGTGTAAAGTCCAGCAACTATCAATACTGTGATACCAAAAGCCAAACATCAAGGTTATACCAAATCACATCAGACAAAAAAATCAAACAATCATCACTTTTTAAAAAACATATTTTTCATCTTTTGCTAGAGGTCGCCAACTAGCATGAATTCGATCGACATAATATGACTTTCAAAAGCAGCTGCAAGATTTAAAAACTTCATTATTTTAGGGTTTAAAGACCAAAAGTATATTTTGTGTGAAAAGCAAGAGCTGAGAAGGTTTTTTCCCTCAAAACCAACCTGGTGTACTTTGCTGGAGCGTAATAACAAATTGTGCCACAATTTTTGAGCAACTTTACTTTGGTAACCTCTGGTCATGTTAAAAATGAGTTCATATATTCCAAAATTGTTCGGTAATTTCTTAAAACCGCAAAAAGTGAATATTTGTTAGCCTTGTATCATTTTGACAGCAATGCTTATTGAGCAACAGACATGCATGAGTATGATGGTGAAACTAGTCTTCTATTTTATTCACTTAAATCTTTGATTTTTAGAAGGAAACATGTTTTGAGTACATCTTCCATGTGTGTCCCCCATGGGTGATAAGAGTTGGTATATCTTCAAGCCTTTAATAACCATATCATGAATTGTGTGCCATCAAGCGCTGTCAAAACACATGGATGTTAAAGCACTTCCACAGTATTTACATCATTTCCTCTTAATCTGATGCAAAACGTTAATTTATTTTGAAAATCACTTACTTTATACCATCTCAATTGAAGTGAATGAACAACGCAAGCCATTCAAAAGTTCAAACTTTTGCACAACATAATCTACTATAGTACAAGGAATTTTTTATAATCTCTGTGTGTACAAAAAAGGTTTCAAAATCCATCCTGCGAGGCTCAATTGAGCGGGAGGTAGGAGCGCCACTTTGAGGAGGGGGAACGATGTGTTCAGTAGACGCAGCCTTCAGAGAATGACTTGGTCATGCAGGGGTTAGCATGGCTGAGGTCAGGGACAAAGAGGTCACAGTTTTCGCTGCTCGGCGTTCTGCTAGGAGGCTGAGGAGGGGGGTGGGTCAGGACGCCCGGTTCCTCTTTGGGATGGATCTGCAGGAGAGCAAAGAAAGAGAGTATTAAAGGTGATACATCTGTGAACATAGCAAAACCAAATTATTTATAAAATCAAATGACAGGCAAAATACTTGCTTAGGCAATTGTGATCACGAGGTAAGATTTTTAATGATAGCAGAAAATACTGTTCAATGATTCTTTACTTGATTAGGAAAAATCTTGGGCAGGGGGAAGGAGGAATGATGTTAAAGATTGACATCTACCCTTTATTGGGGGAGGGGGAGGTGAAGAAGGAGAAGGAAAGGGAAGATGAGGAGAATGGCAGGTTTGGGTGATACAAATCTGGATAACTATCAGTCTCTCCTAAATTTTATGTGTTCAGAGGAAGGGGATGGTGATGGTAAGCAAAGCTCCCAGTATTTTCTTATTAAAACTATTTCAGTTCAAATGGAGGACAAGGGGGAGAGGTGGTGGTGATAAAAATCTCAATAACTAACATTCTTATTCAATCTTCGTCCAATGGAGGGGGGGGGGGGGTAATGTTTATCTTGACAACTATCAGGCTCATCTAATCTTAATCCATACTATTTGTTATGGAGGGGGGCCCTGGTGATGCTAAGCTTGCTACCTACCGGTCTCATCTGAGAAGGCCTGGGAGGAGGGGGCTGCCTTTGGTCATGAGGAGGGGGCAGGGAGACCCTAAGCTGGGTGTGGAGACCGTCTGGAAACGCCATGATGAATAGAGCTTCTGGGTCGCAAACAAACTTGTAGACATAGCGCTCCCCCGCAACCTTCTGCATGATGCCCTTCTCGTAATAGTAACGCAGGGATCGGGACAGCTTATCGTAATTCATGGCAGGTCGGTTCTTCTGAATGCCCCATCGTCTTGCAACCTAGTGAAAGAGAGAGAGCATAAAAATAAAGTCCAAGTTTTTTGGATGACCTATGAACTGATGTGAAAAGGATGGTGTAGGGCAACCTAGGACCAATTATGTCCAGCAATAAGCTGTCACAAGGTAAAGTGATGGGCTACACAATACACTCAGCACCTCTACAGTCTAAATAGCACTAAATTTCAATTTTCATAGAAACTCATGGCTTTGCATTTTCATCTTTACTAGTTCATGCATTCCTATTAAAAAGTATCCTTGAATTTGGTCGCTTACAATTCTGTTCTTGTTGCAAATTCATGCAATCACTTTTGATCACTTCTCCGGGCTAACTCAGCCAAGTTAGCTTGGATCCAAGGACTGAAATGGAATGGTTTTGTAAATTAAGTGAAAAATTAAGGCAACTAGTCATGATGACCATGTAAAGTTGCATTGACCTGATGAAGAAAAGAAACCCTGTTTAATCCAATGATTGCAACTTTCCATTAATTTTTTTTCTGGTTGAAACTGAGTAGGGTTTTACAAATGCTTAGGTGGATGGCCATCACAGTATGAATATATTTAATACCTCTTCTGGGTCTATGAGTTTGAACTCCAGGCCCCGCCCAGTCCAGGCTATGAAGGCCCCGTTGGACTGGTCTTCAAGGAGAGTTACAAGGAACTGCCAGAGTTGAAGGGAGCCACGTCTGTGGTAGAGAGGCCCTTCTCGCACCACCTCATGCCTCGGCTCATCTGGTTTAAATAAAGAAAACAAGTAAATCAATTCTGATTAGTGTGGTTTTTGTTTAGCGCTGTTGCTGGCAAGCCCTATACCAACTCTAAAAAGGATGTTAGCATAAACACATGCCACAAAGCAACTTCTGGTAACCTTTTCCATGGTTTTGATTGCTCTACATATAATTAAAAAAGTGAAATTGGATGTTAACTACCTATTTGAATAGCTTTGTATGAAATTATGAAATAAGTACATATTTCAGAAGATATGGTACAATTTAAGTTACATTCGTAAAAGTCCATTCTCAAAAGGCCATTAAGCCTGTAACAAATGATTGAACAAGCTCCACCTTTTTTTCAAAGATTCTTGAATCAAAGCGAATCTGAGGCTTAAAGAGAAGGTTGAGTTCTGGGAAGAGGTGAACAATAATTTGTGAACTTTATCATTCTTATTATGCAAGTGTGGAAGAACATCAGATGAGACATGTTCCCTGAAAAGCATGGCTCTTCAAATGCCTTCATATTCTAAATATGTCATGTTCATCGTAAAACTCGGGGGGTAGGTTTTTTACGCCACATGTTCGTGTAGTCCCATATACATCTTTCTGTGTACAGTGCTTGGAACTTTACCAAGACTTGGCCAAATTTCTTATCATTTTGATGATTCCAGAACCTTGCAATACACACAAATTCTTATATGCTAGATGATCAACCTTTTCTGGTCGATTCCACACCGTTTCTTTCACAATGCAATCGCATGACCAGAACTCAACTTCATCTTTAATGTATAATAAAATATATCTTCATTGGAGAAGTAAAGAAATTTATGGAATCATTTCCTACATGTATACTCACTGTGTTGTTCTTGAGCCTTTTCCGGTACGCTTGCATCATCATAGAACGCCCTGCCGCATTCCACTTGCCCGCCTGCACAAGACGATACACATAAAATCAATCAGACATTGGCTTCATTGTGAAGCAGTATAAATCATTTTAAACCACATTCAAGGGAAGATATCATTGGAAATCAGCTTCATTCCCTATTTCTTGGAATACAGAACTATATCACACAGAAAACAAACTTTCAATTTATACCTCCTATCATTCAAGCAATAGCCAATGTCAACGTCAAAACAAAAAGAAAAGTTATAAGAATAATGAGTAGATACTAGATATTCTCATGAAATCAAGATGAAAAATTGTGTGGGAATATTAAAAGATGGTAAATTTTCCTCTATTCTAAATATAAATACTATGAATAATTATATAATAACAACTACTTTTCCAACATTTCAAAATAGATTACGTATGGAATAGAGAAGAACATTAAATGCTGAACAATGAATCTTAATTGACCTGGATTTGAATCAATTGTAAAGCTTGTATTGAGGACTAGTATTGTGCAAGTGTGCAACGTACCTGTACACATGTACATAAAACTTCTGTTGAGAGCCAGAAGGGCATAAACATTGTGTTATATAATACCAGTTAATGCCCTTCTGTGAGTCAGAGAAAAATTCTACAGAATTCTTAAAACTATCAAAAGAAAAAAGTGGAGGACTGAGCAAAATATCATAACAAAATAATAAAACTGGTAAAATGCATCTACATTAAATCCTCCTGACTTGATGACCTACTGAAATGCCACATACAAACGATTGCAAACACAGGTAAAATTGATCAAAATAATAGCACAATCTAAACGAAAGTAACTGCAAATATTGCCAGCACTGAGTGAATTCCAGTATTATCATAAACCTTTTGACACAAGATTGCTTAGAATGGATGGTAATTATCACGATAGAATTTACTTTCTGATTTAAGAAGAGGAGAATTGAATGCAAATCTATACAGTTACACTATTCTAATTTTGAACACTGCTTGACATTTGTATCTGTGAGTATAGGAAAAGGCACAGCTCTATTTTTAGAACCGTTGATAATTTACACGACCTGTAGTTGATATGAGGTCCATTCACACATAAGAGAAAGTGAGATTTGTAATGTGATTCAAATCTCACTGTATTTGCATTCACATATGGAATATATAAGGATTTCAATTTTTGTCTTGAACTGCCACTGATGTAGCACAAATTGGAAGGTGCTCGCTCCTACAAATAAAAAATACCTTTTCACTGTTTCAAAGTTTAAATGAAACATAGGATATCTAAACACAATAATTCCCGATAAAGATGATATATTGTTTCAAATTTAATAACATAAACCCATTTAAAAGTTATGAGTGAATGTTCTATGCATACAAATAAATAAAATGTATAAGTTAATCTCTGAATTCTGGTCTTGGAATTGACATGCAGTATATTGTGTGGCTCACCGAATAATAAGCACACTATACATCCTTGAATTCAAATTCAATTTTTTGTTGTTGCAAGAAACCATCTATGCTGTGCATATAGGTAGGGACTATTGGCATATTTCGCAACTTCCTCAACTATCATAGAGCTTTTACCAACAATTTTAAAGCAGATCTCACTGATTTGAAGTCTTGGAACAGCTAGTGTAAGATTTTTGTACTGTTCAAAGTTTCATCAATCTGTTCCTCTGATTTTTAAGCTCTTCTTCTATGTAAAGGAGCTATAAAGATTGGATTTCCCTTGATATCTACTCATGGTCTGTAAACACAGATTTAAAGACTGTCCGTTGAGAGCCAGAAGGACATTAGAGTCTGGTTTAACGCCCTTCTAGTTCAGAGCAGACAAGGTACGATTGGCTTACCTTCCTCCTTGCAGTGGCGTTGCATGAACATCTCCTGACGGGGGAAGCCATTCCCAAAGGATCGGGGTACCTCTGTATGGGGCGACATGACATGAGAGTACAGTGATAAGTTATGTGAGTCAGCTGAACTGGTTTGGTAACATGGCGACCGGTTATAAGATTCCATTGACTTTGTAGTCTCGTAGTTGTAATCGTATTTTCTTATCACAGGCAAAATCAGCAAATAAGGATACTCTAGGCTAGCATTCAAAACAGATCATGATTGAGGTGCTTTAAACCATAAAGAAAATGACTGCATATGTGTGTACTCTAGTTGTTTTGGTACTTTGTTTAAAAATAAGATACAAGAGCACAGTAGAAATGCACATGGCCAAGATCTAGACTTCACCTAGAATCATTTCTCCCAGTTATAATCTCCTCTATATAGGTGTTCTAGCAACAGCAACTTGAAAGGAGGTAGCGATGTTTACTGAGGTTTAACTGCTGGACGGAAAAATAAATGTGGAACCTTGAGGGATGCTTCAAAAACAGTTTCAAAGAAAAGGATGGCTTGAACTTGAGAGCAAATTATGGAATTAATTCCAAACAAATGAACTGATTGGTTACCAAGCGTCAACACTCCCCTGGGTGGAGCAGCACAACTAATCAAAACTTTCATTATGACAGGAAATTAAAACAAATATGGATTCCATCCTGTTTTTGTTTTCTTACAAAAATTAGGTGTGTGTAGGATGCTAATAGCTTGTTTCCTCTACGATGAAATGACCTTAATTGATTTATATTTCCACTCATCAAGTTACGATTGCATACATGAGGTATATCCCATCAAAACACGATGATGCCCCACTCATGATGTGGTGATATGATCCTAGGCAGATAGATAATGAGAAGACATCTCTTCAATCCAACACAGAAATGACAGGAGTTAAACCCACTAACATTGGAACTCCATGTAGTTGCAGGTCGCTAGTAAGTTTGTGTAACTTATCACTAGTGAATCCATTGACATGAGATACATAATTATTATTCAAGTATAGACCCCTTGGTAAAGTACCGGTCAACAGGTGTCCAAAATTCATTTTCCAGTGCTATGCATCCAAGACGTGTTAAATAAGAAGTCATTAAGTCATCCAAGACGGAAAGACGGAGGGACCACTTGGCTGGAGCAATGCATTACAGCTCCCTCCACTGTCATGTATGCTCATCTTCTGATATTCATCAACTATTTAATCAAAATCTACCAGGAAGATATCAAGGTAAAAAAAAAACACTGCAACCAATCTACTAATACTCGGCTTCAAAGAACTATTTTCAGTAGATTTATTTTATTAATGGTGGGTAAGGTAATGTAGAGCTTATATTTGAACAGTTCCACATCATCCATAGATTTCTTCATCTTGCATGATAACTGAAATCAAAAGGATGATGCCCTTCAGAGCAGAGTTTCTCTATGTTACGGAGAAGGCTATTATACTTCCTTCCGTATCTCACATTCAAGTCGTGATCGTATCGCAAAACTCTGAATTCATTCACCTCTAGTGTTTGTAGCAGTATGGAGTGCTACTGCCTTAAGGTCATTCTATGGAGCAAACCTGCATGATTAGCTGCAGATTGTTAATTCCTACTACTGAACGTTTCCATTTCCTGCAAGGCATCCATTGATTTCCTTTATTGTCAAGGAAACGCTACTTATTCAGCTGGAATGTGAATGTTGTAGTATTCATGTGTGTGATACACATTTGGTTTTGATTCTGTTTCCCGGAAGCATCATATCTATCATCTACATAAGGGTACAGAGAGATAGTGCATGAGGATTTACTATCATCTCATTTAATCACTATCCTATTAAAGATCGTTCACAAATGGCATGGTAAACTACTGTAGCAAAATACACCTATATCATGTACCGGTATAAAGAAACTGAAGAAAAAAAAAATTCCATTTGTTATCATTAATAACGGTCTGTTGTCACTTAAACATTAAAGGTAAAGACCAGTATTGGAAACGCCCCAATTTCAAAAAATGAAATGGAAGCTCTCATTACCAATCATGTGAAAGAGTATGTTTTGACTAATACATGATGATAAAAAATTTGCCGGGAAACCGCCTACTAATTCATATATTTGGTAAATTTGTTTGTCTCATGGTCTGTGAGAGATATAGGGTAGTCCCATATACCTCTTTCTGTGTATAGTGCTTGTAACTTTACGAAGAATGGGCCAAATTTCTTATCATTTTGATGATTCCAGAACCTTGCAGATGCTAGATGCTAGATGATCAACCTTTTCTGATCGATTCCACAATGTTTCTTTCACAATGCAATCGCATGACCATAACTGGTCTTTACCTTTAAGATTATCTTTAATTATACATCTAGCATTGAATCTGAACAATGTAAAGTCCCTTTAAATATGAATACTTATTTCGAAGATGACAGTGGGATACAACCTACAACTTGAGACATATCCACTAGGATATTTTTCATAACTGACATGAAAGTACTAATTATGAAAAAGCTCAAAAAACATTTTCATCTTTTCCAGAATTTAACCTCCTTTTAAAAGCCAAGTGACCAAATGTTATCCTCTACATCCTGTCAAAACAGTATCAACCTACACAATATTAATTGCCTGTTCTTGATAATCAGCAGAAACTTGGATAATTATCAATAACATATTCCTGTCTTTAAGGAGATTAAAATTCCTGTAACATGCAGCCCCAAAATAACAACCAGCGTAAACAAGCAAATTAATACACAAAAAAGAAAAATGCAATCATTTCATCTCAGATTTTGTTTGCTTCTTGCAATACATACATTGCAAATGCATATATACAAAAAAGCAATTGTTTTTTTAGGTTTTCCTTGTACTTTATATTCAAAGAAAATTATGTCAATGCAAAGGCAACAAATATGAAAAAAAATATTAAAGCCACTGGCCCACTGCAAGGCTTTTGCTAGTTTTAGGTGCATCACAATTTAGATGGAGAGAGAGAAAAGGGAGAGAGAGAAATGCGAGAGAGAGAGAGAGAGAGAGAGAGAGAGAGAGAGAGAGAGAGGGAGGAAGAGCGAGAGAGAGAGAGAGATACCCTTTTCTAACTGCACTGATTTTCATCGGATGCTTTCGGACGCATCCGATGAAAGTGCCAGTTAGAAAGCAACAGAGGAGAAAAAGGCGATTAAATAGCCGATGAAAAGAAGAGAAATAGGCAATTAAATTCTCCTGCTCTAGAGCAGGAGAAATTCTCATTCTATCGGTGTGACACCGATGAAACGTGCAGTTAGAAAACGTTCGGGAGAAAAGGGCGATTAAAACAGCGATTAAAATGGTCAAAGGTGGCAGTATACGCGCGCTTTAACGTAACCAGCTGTGTTTGTTGACTTATGGTTGAACAAGCTGCATGTTAGCTAGATGGAGCGCGGGCTTAATAATTACGTAATAATTCTTCACTTCCGGCAAGGGCTCGCCACAGCGAGTGAATTTTACCGGCAGTTAGAAACCGACATTGGGAAAACTGCGGTTTCACCTTTGTTTACATAAGGAAAATTCAATCGATATTTTCATCGGTGTGACTCCGATAGAGTGCAGTTAGAAAAGGGTAAGAGAGAGAGAGAAAGGGGTAAGGGAGAGGGGGAAGAGGGGAGAGGGGAAGGGGGAAGAGGGGAGAAGGGGAAGAGGGGAGAGGGGGAAGAGGGGAGAGGGGGAAGAGGGGAGAGGGGGAAGAGGGGGAAGAGGGGAGAGGGGGAAGAGGGGAGAGGGGGAAGAGGGGAGAGGGGGAAGAGGGGAGAGGGGGAAGAGGGGAGAGGGGGAAGAGGGGAGAGGGGGAAGAGGGGAGAGGGGAAGGGGGAAGAGGGGAGAGGGGGAAGAGGGGAGAGGGGGAAGAGGGGAGAGGGGGAAGAGGGGAATAGGGGAGAGGGGGAGGGGGAGGAGAGGGGGGGGAGGGGGAGGGAGATGTGTGTAGGCATTTGAGAGATTTTAGTCCAATCAATATTTTTTCTTCTTCTTGATCCTCCCTTGAAACTTAATCCTAACTTCCTTCTTAAGTCAAGGATTAGCGAGAATGAATTTCATGCCCACTGCCCAGGAAATTAAATTCATTTACCTAACTATTTATATATAGGTAGGCCTAATTAAATCATATTAAAGGGTGATCCTACATTTCCTCCAACAACAATTTCTTCAGGCTTTAATTCATAAGAGGTTTAGGGTAAGGGTTGTAAAACTGAGTTTGATGTTAAGTTTAGGCAGGGTTAGCAAATTTTAAACACTGTATTGTTAAATGATTTTAAAACGTCTTTATCACCGCTTATTTTTCCTTCTTTTAAGATATTTTTTATTAAAAACACCCCTTAGACATATGTATGATAAAAATAATGTATATGTTTCTGCACTTTTTTTACAACAATTTTCTTACATAAATAAGTTATTTTTTGGGTGGCATTTACAAGATTCCACAATTGTTCATTATAGTACAAGTGAAAAAAATCCACCTTTTTACCTCTGCACGGACAAAAAAAAGGTATTAAAAAAGTCAATGTCGTTTACTAACCATCAATCAAAGTAGAACATTTAAAGTGACATTGGACATTTTAAACAGGTGCAATAGGTACCATTTGAGTCCAGATTTTTCTCAACAAATAACCTTCCTACTCGACTGCTAATGCTAATATCCATCAAACCCAAATTGGCAAATTCTGTGATTTATCTAGTGAACACTTCTCCCATTTTGTTATGTACCATTTCTCAGAAGAAAAAAATTGTGTGCACTTGTGCTCTACATATATTAACTGACACATGTTTTTACTTGCCCTTCTAATTAAAACATTTATGTATTCATTGACAACCAAGAAAATGGGAGTCTATGAAATTTGTACTCCCTGTAATAATTAGAAAAATAGGAAAGGTGCTCACAAGGAAAATAAAGAGTTGCCAATTTGCATTTAATTGATTAGAACTTTAAAAACTCAAAACCTTCCTCTCTCTCTCTCCCTGATTCTCCTCAAAGTTCCACTAATTCTCTCCTCTTTTTTATGCTTTCATTACAACCAGACTATCAGGGTGAACTCTACCTTGTCATTACCCAAAGCTCTTAAGAGACAAAACATCTGAGGTGTGCTCCACATAATAGACTTCCTGTTGGACTATACAATTGCAGGCTTGCTTGGAGCAGACCACAAATGAAAGGGCTTTTATCTTTGGAAAATCTCCTTTGGAACTGACATTGTTCCTGTTCCACTTCAAAGGTCCTGAAACTAATTACATGACAAAAGACTGGAAAGAAGGGGTGGAAAGTTCTTCCAATTTCATAAGAGTATAATGATAAGCAACAAAAGACTGTGAAGGGCAATGACGTCAAGTGATGACAACCTTCATGTGATGAAAAACTTCATAAATTTATAATGCTCTCACCTTCAAGTACCAAAATCATGGAAACTATACCAAGTAAAGTTACAAACATGTCATGACAAATTGCAGTTTTAACATATTATGTCGAACTGATGAAGATCTTCAAAAGGTAAAAAGCCTTCAATTGTTTTTTTGAAGTACCTCTCACAGTCACCTCACATAGTGAATTTGAAAGAAGATTTTTCACAAGTTTTTGAGAAGAGAAGAGTTACGATAAAATGTGATATAATAATAATAATAATAATATCCACACCTTTCACACTTATACCATACTTTAATAACAATTTTACATTATCACAGAAAATTTCTAAATATGTGCAAACTCTATCTTACTCTATCATACAAAATTCAAGTTTCAAAATAAAATTTAAGTCTATAAAAGAGAAGACAAGAGTTTTTAACAACTGAACAACCATAATTCAAAGCAGGCAAAGGTGAAGTATTGAATAGCTCCACCTCAGTTACAATTTGGCCAATGTCAACTTAGAAAACAAACATCTGTCTACAATGTCAGCATGGTAACTTGTGATATGACATTTGCTAGCCTCAAGAAAAAGAATGAAGATCAAGCTCCTTCAAAACTACCAACTGAAAATCATATTGAAAATATGTCAATTACATGACAATTTAAGCATTGGGTCATATCATTTAAGCTTAAATTCCAAATATTACTGATTATTTGACATAAGTAATATTTTCTAATTTACTTTAAATTTTGCGAACTGAAATTACTGAAAAGGGGGGCTCATATCTCACTTTAAAAAATTACTTTTGAATTAAATATTGGTTCAAGGTCAAATTAAAAATCTTCATTGAAGCATGAAGAAAAAAGTTTCAACCATTAAATGTGAGTCAAAATAAATTTGTTTAAAAATAAATTGTGAATTCTATAAAGGTCATTTTGTTTTCATTGTTTTATTTATCTGCTAAAACTCGAATCGCTTTAAGTATCTGTAATCTTGTTTAGATAAATGAAATTCATTCACTAAGCTTTGTCATTATTTGCAATCTTGCCTAACATAGGAGTAGACTATATCATGTTTGCAATATAGTGCATATTGTAACAAAGAGAGTTCTCTTACCGGCTTCATAGCCATAGTCCACAGGCTCCTGCTTCACGATAGTCTCCCTGAACCGTGTTTGATTGAATCCCACTCGGTTCTTGAACGGGAGGAACACCGGCTCAGAGTTCTGACGCTGGAATGGATGTGGTCCTCCACCACCACCACCACCACCAGATTCAGCTGCTGAGTTCCCTGCAGCACCCATCGGATGGGCCAGGTTGCCAAAACAGGGCTCGGAGGTCTGCCTCTGGAACCTACTATGAAATTATTTCAGAAAATTTCATGATCACTCATAATTTCAAAGCAGCTTGGTAACAAAATTTCACAAGAAAGATTCCTACTTTAGAACTAATTATCATGGGCTTCAAAATTGAATATCAAATAGACAAATTCAAATTTCAATAACTACCCCTGCCTTCCCTGTTACTGATTTACAGCTTTTAAAAATCATAGTTCAACACTTGCAGTGCTCTGGGCTTGGAGGCGAACGGCACTCAAACATCAGAATGATAAACCCCAACAAATTTTGATAGTAATTTTGTTATTAGCACTCAGTAGAATCCCGTTGTATATGACACATTCATGAAATGATTCCCTTACAAATACAGAAGTATACGTTTGGAGCCCTGCAGTAGAGACCAAATGATGAAGATACTCTTCCTCTTAATTAAAATAAGGACTGCTTACCTCTTATCCAGGAAGAAGCCAGGACCAGGACCTGGTCCATGTGCCCTGAAGTGATTGCTACTTGGCCCAAACCCGCTTCCGCCCGGTAACAGCGGCTCCTTGAATGTCACCATCTGACACATGGACGGCCCCTGCGGCGTCGTTGGCGATGAGATGCTGCTGCCATTGTTGTTGGTGTCATTGTTGGACTTGTTGCAGCTACTACTGCACATGGATGGCCCCGGATGCTCCTGCTTGATGATGCGGTTCATGTTGAGGTCGATAGAGGGGGATGCCATGGCTCTTTGGGCCATATCCACCATCCCTGATGAGTTACTCTTGGTGGAACCCTTGGCATTGCCAGTGGTGCTCTTTGTAGATGATGCGTTGCCCTTAGTAACAGGAGAGCTCTGTGGTGCCACTGCATCTGAGCAGGCGCTCCCTGGTGGACTGGGATGATCATCTGTAAACAAATATATATATTCAAGAATTAAAACTTCTGTTTAAAATATATGACTTTAAACATCTTCATGATTTAGAACCACTTTCTAATCAATTTCTCAATGAGCCACAAAATCACTGTCAGCTGTTTTGGGGTCTCTTATCAGCTTCTTTTTGGCACTTTTCTGCCATCAGTGCGAACTAAAGTACAATATGAAAATAATAAAGGGCTATAAAATGTAAAGTTGTAAACTCACCTGTACTGCTAGGAGATGGTGCAGGGATGACCAAAGAGAGTCCATCCAGTTTACTGAAGGGGTTGTCCACCAGCACCTGTTCCCCGTAAGCAAACTTCTGCTCAAATTTGTCAAAATCAAAATGGCGGTGGCTGGTGCTGGCCGCTGGTGATTTCATGTGCGCGCATGGTTTGTGGTATCCAGGACTCCTGGGTTCGGGCTTAATCTTGATGCTCAAGGGTACTGTGGATGAGATGAGAGAAATGCAAACAATTGGAATGAAATCTTCAACATTAATATCATGGATGCCAGTGTCTTCAGAAGACAGATTCACAAACTGACATTGGCTTAAATCTGCAGGGAGGTTACCTCAGCCAATACCAGCATTCCTTCATCCGCTGAGCGCCAAAAAGGCGGTAACATAGAAACTTCAACAAAGAGTTATCAAACTTCTGGCTCTTAACGGACAATTTGATGATGGATTCATAGACCTGCTCTATATCTGTAAATGATGTGTAGTGAAGGATTTTTCTTCAGAAAATCAACTTAGAATATGAGGGAATCAAAAATGGATACCGGTACATTCTTAGATGGTGAATTACTCCAGCCACAATACAGCATACATACTTCCCAGTTAAAATATATAGGGAATAAAGGAATCCATGACATTTGCTCCGGCGACAATTGCTCCGCTGTAAATTTCATACACTAATCGAATGGCTAACTTCAACCCTGGATTCAACACTATACCCTACCCTAAACCTAACCCTAAACCTAACATAAAACCCTATTGAAACCCTAACCCTAACCCTACATCTTAGACGAAATAAAGCCCGGAGCAATTGTCGCAGGAGCAAATGTCGTGTCACCAGAATAAAGATATCAAGAAATGAAGAAATAAATAAATAGGACTAATACGGTACATATAAATGGGGAAACTGGTAAAAGAGGGACATCCCTGTACATAATGACTACATGTATGTACCGGTATTACAAGCAATACAGATAGAGCAACCTAGAATCCTGCCAGTGATTGAGCATAGATGCCAAGCTTGAGCACACAATTCACACCAAACCAAACGGCTCTTCGGTTCAAAGCCAATCGCTTGTTAAAAACTGGTTGCTTACTGTCATCATCGAAGAACATGGCCAATGATCACACCTTACTATCCTCTGGGACTGTCTGAGATCTTTGGGGAAATCGCCTGGCCTTTTCAACTAAAAATCTTCCATAAGACTTACATGTACCAGGTACACATGTATATGCCTATCCCTTTCATAAAATGGGGATTGCATTTCGATTATCAATGGTAACACAGACTATTTTGGAAGAATGATATGGCAAAAGGCTGTGGACCACCATTTGTGTAATTAACTGGGAGTAGACTCCTACTTTACATCTAAGAAAAATTGTTCAGTGTGATCAGACGAAGTACGGTACACCTTTACAAAGAGCAATTTCTTAAAGCAGCACCCTTGTAACCAAAACAGAGGTTAAATTCCAGGATGCACGCATTATATACACTTCTCACGTTTTCTCACATGAAGTGCAAGTTAAGGTTAAATTTCAATTAACGGGTATTCCAAATGGCTTCACAGAAGATGGCTAATCCAAAGCTTTGATGACTTACATCTAGACAGCCCTCTCATACAGACAGCCACTTGACCATAGCCAGAGCACTCTGGTGCTCTTATTCCCACTTATTTTTCCACTAATATACCTCAAGCAAGTTATGATATGCCACCGTGATACTCAACTTCAGGTAGGATATACATGAAGTAAACAGAATATCTGCTTGGACTCTGGAGCCAGAAAGTCATTAACTCTGTGTAACATGATGTGAGGTAATGCCCTTCTGACTCTTAACAGATGAGAAATCTTATCTGTTTCCATATCTTCATTGCGCATCTTGTCTTTCGGCTTCCTCCTTGCTCTGGTTCATGGAATATAAGCTGCTGCATTAAGGGTGAGAGTGAAGTCTGTACCGGCATGGATACAGATACCTTGCGTTACTTTCAATTTTAGACCTTGCATTAATGGTGAAAGTGAACGCTGTGGATGGATATGGATACACTGTGCTGCTTTCTTTACCATGTTTGTTTTGCACACATGTATTGATAACGATACACCAGCTTTTTGTTGTTGCATCTCGCTTTACAAGATATGGTGCAACAGAGCCTCCCCAAATGCATGTATTGAAGTGTTCATGTATGGCTAACGAATATCACTCGTGGAGTTAAAGCTTATTTTAGTGCAGAGCTTTTTGCTTATGAATTATTGAAAGGAAATCAGTATAAACCAGTTCCGTTTCCAAGAAAATGACTCTAGAATACAGCGAAAAGCAATGGCCTGCTCTTTAATAAGCCTTTCCATTAAGAAAAAAAAACTTGTCTGTACATTTCATATTCACCAAAAACTGTGCTGACCCTTTGTTCATATCTGTAGCCTGACTGAATTATCTAGAAATAATAATGAATTACCAATCTCTAATTCTCAGCAGTAACATCCAAAGTGGATAAACATAGCCTACTTTAAATGAAGTACAATGAAAACCTCAGACAAAATTTGATGTTATTTGTCGAGTGGAAAAAGGATGAGAAAGAGAGGGAAAGAGAAAGAGAGAGAGAGGGAAAGAGAAAGAAAGAGAGAGAGAGAGAGCAAGAGAAAGAGAGAGAGGGAAAAGTGAGAGAGAAAAGAGAGAGAGAGAGAGAGAGAGAGAGAGAGAGAGAGAGAATAGAAAGGGGGAGATTGGAAAGAGCAAGCGAGAATAGATGCCTGCCTGTTTGGAAAGAAAGAGAGATTACAAGCAGATCTCACTTTCTGATACCAGGATATTTTTCCACTGTCTGTCATGTCACTGCTTCAAAAATGGTATGCAACGCTGTGACACTGACAGTCATCTGGATGAAGTGCTAGACCTATAAAGCCAAGCTTGACCTTGCATGACCTTTGAAAGTGAAATACTTCCTGTTTGGAGTGTCATGTTACCAAGGGTTCTAGTCTAGCCAAAGAAGGCCACTTTCTGCAGGTTATGGAGTGTACGAGGGGCCCTTCTATCGGCATAAAGAATGATCATTTCCAAAGGCATTTCACATCTATATATATATATATATATACATGTAAACATCTTAAATATTGCTTTTAGTTATCAGTTACTGTGACTGAATATTATTTTTTTTTCTTCATGTATATGCGTCAGTAGACAACAGATGCATAGTACATAAAACTAAGCTTACTGGTTTTCTTCTGAACTAATAATATATAATGAGACACAATATATGAATTACATTTTAAAGGTTAATATAATCTATTTGGTTTAAAATTAAAACTGATCATTATGTCCATTCTTGTCAAATCATCAAAAACCAGTGCATTTTACCAGTTATAGCTTTGAAGCTTGCTAAACAAAGGACAGTGTTATTATTCATTATCTTGCTTGCCAAATTTATCTTCTATGAATCTTTCAAGAAAATGACAGAAGGCTCATTTTGATTGTAGAGTCAGCGGTCTTGTGCTGACATAATTATGGCTGATTAGCCAATGAAAGTAAAACCAACCCAGGTATTTGTTATTATTAATAAAGGAGAAGATGGACAAGCAAGGATAATATTAAAAGAGATGGAAAGATTGAAGAGATGGATAGATAGAAGAAGGGACCATTGCAATCTGATGCGACGGATGTCTTGATAGGAGTGTGAAGTACGCTCGACCCCTGCTCGAAATGAAAAACATCCTCCCAGCCTGGTGACATGAAACGACAAACGGTGAATAAATCAGCGCACTTATTGCGCCCTGTCGAGCTCCCCTCTGTGAATGCTAACTAGGCTATAAGTGCCGCATATCGACTGTTTCATTATGGTGAAGGGTGGGACAGCTAGTAGGAATCTTCTTCTATGCCTGCTCTTTTAATTTTGTATTTATCTGTTAAGATTTAAAGAGTATCATAGAAGGAAGAAGTGATGATAAGAATGAGATTTGATAATGAAGGCCTTCGTGACTTTCATGTATTTCAAAAGACAGAATTGTGTTATTTATCTACATGTAATCATGTATAGTGAAAGAAAATAACTGACCAATTGTTATTGAGATTTATGGATAAAACAAATAAATAACTGAATACATGCTTACAATAATTGACAACCATTAAAATTGCAGGATTACTGAGAATTCCATAAATTATTAAAATGAAATGGAACCAATTTCTAAACCTACTGAGTAATTCATCTCTCAACATCTTTAATCAGTCCTATCTGACTGATAGGAGTAACCAGTACTTACAAATCTATTTTATCAATTGAATTTTGTTATCATACCATGTTTATGATCAGTTACAAGTTAACATTTTGTATTCATAATATTTGTTTCTCATCTTATTTATGTGTGCAATATATTTGTACTTATCATGTCTGTAAAATTCTATATGCATTGTGTTTATTGTGCATGGCCCTTAGTTTGTTAACTAAAAAGGCAACTCCACTTAAATAATACTGTAAATGAAATGAATAAGTACAGTAAATAAAGAAAGCAAGAAATAAAGAGATCATGAATACGCACTTACAAAAGGTAATGTTCACCTCAGTAGTGATAATAATCATCTAAAAATTTGTCAAGCCTCCTCATTTTCAATCCATGTTTGAATTTGTAATGCAAAAAAATGCAAATATCTTTGAAAAATGAATCAGGTAATATTGGTGACTGCACTTTAGGTTTGAAAGAGGAACCCTTTCATACCCTGAGTATCATTACCCAACCTAATGATTTAAAAGGGATCCAATATTACCAGTCCATTACATAGTCAAGTCCTCCTTGTTATATCCAATATCGCTTCAATCTACATCCAATAATGCTCATCACAATTCTTTTTTTATTGTTAGACTGTCATCTCTTTGCTCGGTAACTGTCAGACATGAAATATTAGGTCCACATCCAATGTGCAGACTGTCTGTCTGTTATGTATTTTCTTTTACGTAAGATCAGAGTGCTTTGTCTCAATGTTACTTCTTCCGACTATGCCCCCCCCCCCTCCCTCCCTTCGTAAATCATGCCCTCTTCCTCCTCTTCTTCCTCTTGCTCCCTCTCTTTCTGTTCTGTGCAGCCTTGTCTGGGGGACTGCAGGCCAGTCAGATCCATTAATCCATTCTGTACTCTAAACAACTACTAAAATCAAGTAAACCTTTTGGTGCATTCACACTTGCACCGTTTATTGTGAATATTGTAAAAGTTTTCTGTGGAAATGTCTAAA